CTAGCATCCACTGCTTCTCTGGGCAGCCTGTGCCAGTGCCTTGCTGCTCTCTGAGTAAAGAATTCCTTCCTTAATCTAATTCTTCCCTAACTTGAAAGCAGACTTGAACTTGTAGGGCAAATTAGATGTTCCTGTTTCTGTATATTTCCAGAAAGTATATTCATATATATTTACAGATATATGAGATTATATATTTATGCTCTTATATATGTATGTTGTGTATGTATATTCTGTATATTTTTATTATGAGTTCCGCATGTTTATTGAGTCTTGTGACAACCTGAATTTGTGTGAAGGGTTAAGTTATATGTGACTTTGTCTAAGTTTGTGTTTTTTGAGCATGAGCACAGAGGAATGTATATGAATGTTTCAGTGCATTTCCACAATTGTCAATGTTTTTTCTTTCTAAGACATGTAACTTTTTATGCCTAATGAGAACTGGCTTTCCTGTGAATAGATAAATGTGTTACATTACTAAATGAAAAAAAGCAACGTCAGGCTTTTTGTTTTTTTTTTATTTGATGTTCTCGTCTTCCAAAATCCTTGTCAGTAGCAGTTATATTTGGGAGTCATGCTGGACTTTAGATACTTTTCTAAATAAATTAGCTGATCTTCTTAGTGCTTTTCTATACTCTTTCCTGCTGTCATCATATCACTGATTAATTCCTAACAATTCCATTGTAATTGACAATCAATAATAAAAGCCAAATACTTCAATACTCCCACGTCAGTTCTCCTTTCATTTTCTTTTTCTTCCATTCAAGATAGAAGGCAATTAAAATTATCTTATGTGGAAGAACTGAGATTTTACATTGAAATATGCCTCTGAAGCCTTACCAGTGTTGTGTAACACAGAACAGGCAGCACTGAATACAAACATCTGTCACAAGTCTGTCTTTCTGGATAATTATTCTGCAGTCCGTACCCCCATGTACAGAGTGGGTTTTGCACAATACTTGTTAAGGAAGCATCCTGGCACCCTGCACAATGACTATGATGAAATCCAGAGGCATTAAATCAACGTTTGTTTTACTTTCTCAGGCTTCTTTCTCCCTGTAAAGTCTTGCTTCTCCCTTTGTGGCTACCGTGCATTCTTCTGCCTGAGAAGAGAAATAGCTGAAGTTTTCTGTTTGTGGGCCATAAGCAGTTGTTTCTAATGATTGGGCTAGATGGCGTTGCAGGCAATTACTTTGTGATGAAATGTCAAAGTATCGGTGTATGGACTGAGTGTATTTGAAAAATAAGGAAATTTGCTTATACACGTGTCTCTGTGGGCGTATTTGTATGTACTCACATATACTTGTGTACGTATACTTATGTACCCATGCTTCTGGGTATATGTGTATGAATATGCACGCACATGAGATTACATTTTCTGAGGGTGTAGCATGGTGCATACCCTGCTTTCAGTTCTTGTTTCCTGGTGTAATGACTTCTGTAGGGTTGGTCCAAAGTCTGCATTTTTCAGTTCACTGTGTTGGATCAAAATAGCACAAGGGCCAGTCAAATCTGAACTCTTGGCAAGTGACTAGTGAATCATGTGGTAGCAAACACTGAGCATAGATAAAAGTGACTGGGAGGCTGTGTGTCTAGAGATAAGGAGGGAAATAGGTGGAATTGGCTTTGTGGTGTGCTCTTACCATAAGCCCACATTTTATGGACTCACTCATTTATAGAAGACATTACTGATTTTGTGCCAATCAGATCCTCCACATAGGAATTACCCCACATACGTAGCTGAATCTGAGAAGTGGGAAGGAAAC